GCTATACTTTGATTAACCTCATACTTAAAAAAAGATTCAAACAATCCTGGCTAAACCATGAGACTGATCAAGTGCATTCCTGAATAACAATGGGAAGATACATGTAAAACAACAGCAAGTGATCACAATTGATTGATCACTGGGTGGTGATCAATGTCATGTGTGTCATGTCCTTCTTAGTGCATATCGAATCCTGCCCTGTTGACTACCTCCAACCATCATCTAATCTCAACATAGTGCCCGCAGTGTCGAGTCACCTAGACTAGTGGCCACACTGCAACTTGTTCGATAGCATTCGATCTGCACTAAGAAGGACTTGACACACATGACATTGATCACCACCCAGTGATCAATCAATTGTGATTACATCTCAGTCCTACAGGAGGTCAGACGCGGCCCGGACAGCTCAATGGTAATGTCTCTGACTGTGAAGCTGGGTGACACGCGATCGAGTCCGTCAGGGAGCGCCAGTTCCCTCAATATTACAGGTACGTCTTGCTGACGAGTACCAATTAGCACGAAACCTGGGTCCAGGGTTTCCTGTTGACTACCTCCAACCACCATCTAACACCAAGTGGACTTAATCTTTCAATTTCTTCCACTTTAATATTTTTAATGTTGGTTTCTTGGTTCTCACATAGGTGATATTTTATTAAAATATCTTACGAATTCTCTTATTAAACTTTAAGTAGTCAAATGACCATTTAACCACATGTTTTTGATTCCTACAAATTATTATTTTGATTATTATAATTCCCTCCTCCTCCTCCTTCCTCTTCTTCTTCTTCTTCTTCTTCTTCTTCTTCTTCCTCTTCTTCTTCTTCTTCTTCTTCTTCTTCTTCTTCTTCCAAATACTCAATTCATTATTTGACATTATTCTTATAATCAGTTTGAAATTATAGAAATATTATATTACACCACCATTCGAATGTTGGCAGAAGGCCTATGCTCCTCCACGAGGGGTAACAAGCGTAAGTTAGTAACTACTCGATTTGCATTGTCTTATGGTTTTAAATTATATATATAAAGAACTGAGTGAGAATAAATTTCTTCCTTCTATTCATCTGCTTTAAATATAGGGGTTGAACAATTTTAGTCTATTCGCTCATTGCAAACCATTGAGATACATGGATAGGGGGGGGTAATCGGTCTTCATTGTTGAATATACACTAACTACAACAAAACAGTTGTTCAATTCATTGAAGTGATTCCAGTAATTAGAAATCAACTAAGATCCATTATTTTTTATATTGATGAAAGCGAGTTATCATAACTCTAGTAAACGATAATGTTTTTAGAATATCAGCGTTCCACTTTCCATCAATAATTCAGACTAATACATAATCTAGAACGTGTGATTTTTTGCAGTCGGCTTAAACTAGGCAGAACAGAATTTCAATTTTGATGGAGTTTTGTTCTTTGAGCTGGTGATGGAGATTTCGTCGTTCTTCTGAACGGCATCATCAGCACAAACTTCAGGTAAAGAGAACAAAACTCCATCAAAATGATCCATCTGAGCTACAAATCTTCTCCACTATCTCAAAATCATATGTTCGAAAATGGAGGCATTTCGCGAAAAGGCAGGCTTTCACTCAGGAACAATTGTATTTTCTCCACGACTGTCTTCGTCAGCATGTTCTACCAACAAGTGTATGTTACAGACCTCCAATCAACTGCCCAATGGATGGAGAATAACTGAGCAAAGTGGAAGAAAAATGGTACATCTAACGATAAGTGATGCACATCACAGAATTCCAATTCAAAAGTTTTACTCTTGGATTCGAATAATTCCTTATACTATTTTACCAGTCCTGTTTGGTCATTAAACAGATAAATAAATACAATATTGCATTTACCCATAATCTAGTGAATGAGAACGCAGGTGAGAAAGAGCAATTTATGTTTTAATGCAAAATTACAGAGCTCTTTCATAAAATGTGAAAACCATACATCAATTATTTCATTTGCAAATCTATCAATTGTCTCTTATATCCTTCATGCTTCTTCCATTTCCCAATACCTTTATGTCTCCCTTTCTATTTTCTTCAGTTCAATCTTCTCAACCCTCTTTTAACAGACATTCCATTTCTGACCGGTGTTACATACTACTTATATCTGTCAACATAAGTAGCATGCACCACAATACTTATTAAAACCATGTTAATTTTTCTGATTCATAACTCGTCACTCTTGCGAATGTTTATCGACTGATGTGTTCGGGCTATGTGGTATAAAAGGCTAACTAATGCCTTTTTTCAAGTACAATATTGGCTTGTGTAGATGTAGGTTGAAAGAAAGTTAAGGATTGTCAAACCAAAATATTATATCAGTCTACGAACTAACTGACTTTCGACATTCACACGATTACCGTGAACAATTATTGGAGAAGTTGAACAACATGGCGTGGAATCGGCCACACACATCGGTCTTTCCTTAAACCTGAAACCTTAAAGTGGTTTTATACATTTTACTACTGATTCATCTTTTCCTCTACTACTACTGTAGTGAACAGAACACGGGTGGGGACAACCGAATGTATCCAACACCAAATTACAGGACTTGTTAGTAAAATCTAACAATCATAAAGTAAATGCTTAATTTGCAAAATCTCCATCGATTGTTTCAAAATGACTCAGACTTCATTATTCTTGCATTTTCATACAAATTGCATTCTGTTTCCATTCTTTAATGTTTGATCCTCTTGTCCCTCTGCCTTCAGACCTGTTTACGACTAACATCATATACTACTTATGTCAATATAAGTAGCACACACCACATTACTACTAATAATAATATTTTTACCACTTGTGCTACATTGGAATTTCTCTTGATAGTTTCGTTTTGCTATGCTGATATCATGTGACAAGATGAATCAGAGTACATATATATACCGGGTTCTATATTGCTTATGACTGTTTCATATTTATGTTCCAGTTTCAAGGTCTCATTCCTGATATTAATTTATGATAATTGACTATCAAGTTTGGAATATGAATTCGTATTTGCATATAAAACATTAATTAGATAATAAATTATTTGTGTTACATTTCTTATGAAAATGCTAATAAAATGTAAGGTCTATTGTTTCAACATCGTACAATGTTATGTATTAAGTCAATCGTTATACGGAATGGTGTTCATTGGGAGTAACTCACTATTAAAATATAAATGTATATAGTAGAAGACATAAACCATCTTCTAACATCAGTATCTAGTATGCATAATTTTCTAAGTATCTATAAGTGAGATCTTTTAGTTTGTAAGAACTTATTTATTTAGCTAAATAAATCATTTAAAGTATACATACTCGTAAACATGTTCAATAATCTATGGTTTGTTTATGGAAACTTAATCGTTTAGTTTTAATGTCAACAAAGTTTCATTCTCCTAGTAAATATCAGGTCATACACAACAATAATAATAAGAGTAATTGTGTCAAAGACTACAACCAGAGGTCTAAGAAGCTGCTAACAAAAATTAAGACTAGAATGATATTAGCCCAACCACCGACTGCCTCGACGTGCGATGTTTTCTGGTGTAGGAGTAGGTTGGAAGAAAGGTAGGGGCGGCCAGAACAAAACATGGCACAAATCTATCAAGCCACTGACAAGTGGACCGAGTCATGTTGGTAGGTGTAGACTACCTGGTTGGGATCCGCGAGATGATAGCAGCCGATGGTTAGAGACCTTGAATAATATGGCTCAAAATCGTTTACAATGATGCAGGTGCATCCACTCTTTATGTTCTTATATAACTGAATCTTTATGTTCTCCCAAATTCTAATCTGAATTCTCCATGTCTCTTTTTTCCTCTTTCCAAATTTATTTCACTGGATTATACTCTTTTGAATAACATTTTCAAACCCCAATCTTTCCGATTACTGCTTATACTTTTACTACCTCTACCACTACGGGATTTGTATTAACAATTAAATCTCTGTGCTAATATGGTATGGCACGCACATACGAGATTCTACGTTGTTGATGACTAACCAACTGAGTCAAAACCATTCACTTGTAATAAATATTCTTCGTCAAAAGATTATATATTCAATGCTACCAAATCATTTGACCGGATGTATTTGATTAAAGTAAATTTTTCACACTCAACAGTCATTGAAGTAGAACACAAGTCAAAAATACTAATATTCTATAGTTAAATCATTTTGATATATTCCATGAAATCTAACTCTGCCTGGAGCTCCTCTATGGCTACTGCCGGTCCCAAGCCTAGATAAAGGAGGAGGAGGGTTGAGTATGGGGTTAGCAACCTCATCTCGTAGAAAACTAACTCGCTAAAGAAAAAAAACGCCAACTAGAAAAAAATAATAATTCAATGGAATCTACAAATTAATAGTTACCTGTTCCAATCATCAACAATAGATTCTTGGGTGCATAGAATATTTTTATTATGTGTACATCCACACAATGTACAGTATAAAATAAAAGGAGCATGTCTTTAAAAAAAATAACCGAATTCCAAATATAATCCATTTAAAAGTCCATATCAGATAATCGTATACAAAATGAACATTCTAACATTGAACGTTCAATTGTAAGCAAGCAAAATAAGGCATAAAAAATAAATATGATTAGCAGAATGTAACCATTGATGAAATCAATAATCAATTAACCAAATTCCAATTATTTAAGGTAATTAAAAATCAATACTGAAAATAATATTTTTTTTGGTTAGCGTACACATTAAGGGAAGCACCTAACTGTGTCACAAGACAAGCCCTCACATGGAATCCTGAAGGTCAGAGGAGAAGAGGAAGACCAAAGAACACATTACGCTGGGAAATGCAGATAAACATGAGAAAAATGAACAAGCATTGGATGGAATTAGAAAAGAAGGCCCAGGATAGAGTGGGTTGAAGAATGCTGGCCGGTGACCTATGCTCCATTAAGAGTAACAGACATAAGTAATTAAGTAAGTAAATAGTCAAGAAAACGATTAAAGTAGTATTTAACAAAATAATTAAAAAAACACTCAATTGATTACATTCCTTGAGCATCAAAATAATCTCGCATTTCAATTAATAATTGTTTTGCATCATTAGTTCGATTACCAATTTCATAGATTGCAATTAATAGAGAATTTTTTGTTAATAAACCACATAATTCATATTTACCAATATTATATTCATTTGTATTTGGTCTTGTATAATATTGAATTATATCCGCTAAAAGTACACCAGTTTCATCATCTACATCTTTATATAAACAAGAATCCATAGCTATTTGAAAGTGTTTATCTATAATTACACGATCTGCTCGTTCAGCCTTATTATCATGATAGACAGTTGTAGTCGCCGTCGTCGTCGTCGTAGTAGTAGTAGTAGTAGTAGTGGTGGTGGTAATGATAATCATTGAAGATGTCGTGAAAATATCGATTATAAACAAAATTACAAAAAAAGAAAAGTTATTTATAAAATGTAGATTAATTACATTGTGGAATAATTTCATCTAAAATATTACTGAACATTAGCGAGTATTTATTGAATAGGTGTATCATTTTAGTTTGAAACTCATCAAACTGTATACTCATAGTTGAAAATAGGAATAATCTTATCTTGATTTTAATTGTTCGAAAGTAATCCATTCACTGTGAGATCTATGTTCCATTCAATAGTGAAGTAGTGAATACTAATGGAAAGTTTCAAGCTAAGTGAAAATATTTGTTCGGTTGTGGGGCCCTTTTATTTGTCGTCATTGAGGTCGGACGATGTTGTCGAAAGGGCTCTCCACTTTAGTGTTCCGTGGATCTGACTCCGAAAGATCGTAATGAATGTTTGTTATTGAAATATATATGTCGCTTATTCTCGTATATAATCATCGACTTAAATCGCGTTAGTCAATAACGGAATTAAATAAGTTAAATAATGAGAATGAACTTTTGAATACATATATTTTGTATATAAAGTGAATGGAATAGAACGAAGCAAAACGACGCACAGTGGAGATGGCAGGTAAGCTAACTCGCGTTTAACCAAGCGTTAATCAATATTTATAGTTACACAAAAGTAAGTTACAGACACCTGATGAGTAATGGGATAAGAAATGTACACACACCTACGCGCTCATATAAAAACAGTTAAGATTGATAAGCGAATAAATAACAAGGTCAGAATGTGACTCAAGTAGAATGAATAGGATGGGCTGTCCGAATGCTTGAATAAGGTATATGGGCTTAACATAATAACCGGCACTACACAATGTTCTCTAGTCTCCAATATTTGTTTGGATGAAGTCAGTCCGGGTTTTTTTATTATCTTCAAATTGAACAGTATCAAAGGTAACTAGCCAAAAAACAGTGTTAAACATTTGTCTTTTTAATTGTTCATCTAACCGATTATGTTAACTATTTCATACTAGACACAATGAGTTCCAGAATATTTATGTTTTATTCAGATAAAATCACCTTATTACTAACCTCAATGGAATGTATCAACTTCCTCTATCCAACTTCTGGCTGCCTGCTTGAACATCTGGACTATCTATTCCTGCCATTTAGATATTTCAAAAAGTTACTCGTTTTTGTTGGGTTTTAACACATCATTAATTCTATTAATTACATAACCTTAATAGGTACGTTTCTGAAAAGTTTACAACCTTTCGTTGTACAACTCACAAAAAATGACAATCAGATATATCGTGGTAGGCGGAAATATGCATTGAAAGGAATGAACATTATTCATATATGGATTCATGAACTGCTTACATCTAACTGGCTATCACTCAGTATTTATCGTCAGGGTCAGTCACAAAGTTAAAAAAGGAAACTTATTGAAATACTTCGTTCTGAGGATTCTATATTGTACCAAAAATATATAAAGCCTCTAATAATAATGGTCATAATAATAATAATAATACACACTTCTATCTAGACACCACTCTAGTTCATATTATATAACTTTTAAGTTGTATACCCACCAACGCTATTCATGTTTCTTAATGCTAGATATGTCTGATTGTTATAAATTTTCAAAATCATCAGTCATTTTAAATTGGTTCGCTTTACCTTGTTGAAAGAAATCCAACTTAAGGAAGTTCACAATACAGAATTATACCGATAGAACTTTCGAAAATCACTTTCAATTCCTAATCCTGAATAGTTCACATTGAAGTTTAATCACAATCCTGTATTATAAAAAGAGATGAATGGTGGCTAGCAGTGAATTCCAGGACAGGTGGTTCATCAGCTGGGTATACCTGTCGAATCCCAGAATTGATGTTCAGTTAGACGTACTAACCCAATTACCATTCACTTCAAATGCCATCTCATCATATATCCACTTAGCTACTTAGTCCGGATGGCCACTAGATTGTACAATGGGGTGGAGTTTAATTCATTTTTATTAGTTTTTTGAATCTTCCCATTGACGTTTAGGAATGCATTTAATTTAAGCATTCCCCATAGAGTGCAAATATGCTAAAAAGAAACATATAACCTATAATTTTAAGAAATTATCTATCATCAGTTACTCAGGATGGATAAATTATAACTAACAATGAGACCCAGAATGCGCGTTTCGTCCCATATATGACTTGTTGGCTGAATATGCCTGTCACATTTCCGTGTTGATGTTCATATCCAGATATGAACACAGTACCTTTACTTCCAAACACCAAGTGCGATGGTCGCTGGGCTACCAAATGCAGAAATATCAATCTAGATCCTTAATCAATGATATTCATTTACTGTCAGTTAATAATCAGTGATTTTATTTAATATATGCTCTCAAAATAATTGCAAAATTGATATCAACAATACTGAACTTTAGTATCAACAAAGCATTGTTTACCGATATTTCAAACTATTCTTCTTACAATGAAGTTAGAACATGTCACTGTGTGTTTAACTGTCCTCGTAATAATAAATTACTACTACGATAATCAGACTGACTCTGTAAATCCAGTGTTTGGGTAGAGAAAATAAAATCTACTGAACATTTTGTACTTTAATATTTAAGGGACATATATCATCAAATAGATTAAAGCCCAATATCCACTTTCACATTCATATAGCTAATTAAATCTATCGAGATGTGTGCTTTCCCATCCACTAAGAACAAAATGTAATAGATAATAACAATTTTCCCTCCACCAGTCTACCTATCTCTGAAACACAGTATGAATCATTCCCTACCTTAATCATATGTAAATATTCACTTCATGTGCGTTTGTGTGTATATATGTCTTTGTTTCATTTGACATTCAACGTTGTATTCATCTTAATTCACATAGTAATGATGATTTATTGACTACCTTTTGTACAACAAGATCCTACTATCCTTTCCATATATATTCATCCTAACATGGGATTTCCCAGTAGTGAGCATCCATAACCTAGCTACATTGAATTGAATCCAGTACCCTCGATCTCATGCGAGAACGATTAACCTCTAAACCACTGAGCTGACACGCAGCGATCTTAACATCTAACTTCAACTACTGCATGATTTCAACAGTGAAAATGTTACAATCTCCACAATTTGCGTAGGCTAATCATATACGTGTATCAGTTTAATTCTACTAGCCATAACAATTCGAAATGTTTCTGACCACTTATAAGTGCAAAACTTGATAAGAAATCATTGAAAATACATTGTGATCTTCATGGATTAGAATGAGAAATACTTTATTACAATATGTGAACTATTCATGATTTATACTTTTTATACTACTAACAAGTAGTTCAAAATATTTTTTCTAAAGTTTTTCTTTCCTAAAGATTTACAACTTCCATCATTTGGACGTTCGGCGTCGTTTTTTTTTAAAAAAAAATTTGTACTAGGAACTCAAATGAGAATTAGTATACAAAAATCCAAGGAAACCACGCCCATGTCTATAGTAGTAATCAATATTATCTAGCGCATTAGCTATGAATACATTCCAATTGAATAATTTGTGGATTAAAATAGTCTATTTTTAGGGTAAAATATGAATCATAACTGAATCATGGAATACATTTGAAGTTTGTGTTAAATTTCAGCAGTTTTATTATTAAAACATACTATCATTACGTTTATCAGATTTATTTTTATACTAATAAAAATGTGTACTGCTCAAATCTAAGTGAAGAAACTACTTACATTAAGTCACGAAACGTCAGAAATACAATCGTTCTACACTGTGTGATATAACAAAACTATATCTATTACCAAGTGATATGGTTTCGAAGTCCACAGACAGTATCAGTTTCCTCAAGATTTGCTTTTTATATGAAAACTAAAAAAATTGAAGACAAACTGTCCGTTGGTACGAAAAAATTAATTGGGTACTACTTATTCACTTTGTCAGTAGTATATAAGCTAAATTTAAATAGTAGGAGTTATTGATGATTAAGTTCAAATCGACAAATAGTGGATTATTAGAATAGGTGATTTCTGGAGACGGTATAATTTTCATAGTTTTAAATCATAAACTGCTCTTAGTTAAGCCACGATTAAGGACTTGGAATCATAAGACGGTCGTTTAGTCTTAGTATAGGAATCCTTTGCAGTGTGTATCCACGATCTCGCTAGCGGGAATCGAGGTTGAACGTTCGCGTGCAAGACTGAGGAGTTCCATACTAGAACAAAATGATCGTTCAGAGCTTCCATTTTTTCCAATGGTAGTTCAGCTTAAATAGTGAATTGCATTTTTCACATTTTAGCTTGACAATAAATTATGCCATTACAAAAAACATCCATTTGATATTGTCCTTTATAAATTAAATATCTCTTAATAAAAATCAAAGAGGCTTATGGTACAGTACTATTTTTTTCCCCACACTTTGTACTTTAGACGTATAACAGAGCTCATCGTTCATAACTCGATAGAGTAATGATACAATTTGACAAACAGTTTTTGTTCTGTATGAAGTTTTTATTCTGAGTATTTCAAAATGAAATAATCATATAGCATAATACTGGTCCATCATAGATTAGACACAATTTTTACCCGTGTCAGAGTTCACAAAAGCTTTATAATAACAATAAGGATGTACTCTGGAAGAGAACTTTAATTTCAATAAAAGTCCGTTAACCAGTGGAGTTCAATTGCTGTGAATCAGGTATCATCGTTGCCATTAGATAATAAATGACTGGGACTATCAATCATGAAATATTAACTCAGCGATTCGAATGTTAAAGGTTCGCAATGAGATATGCATAAACTGGGTGCACGTTTGAAACCACACTACTTAGAAGTTCATACTGAAACAAAACAGCTGTCCAGTTTTCCTTATTTACTTACGCCTGTTACTCCCAATGGAGCATAGGCCACTGATCAGCATTCTTCCCTCCCTTCCAGTTCTATCATATTGTTGTTCATTTTTCTCATGTCTACCTCCATTTCTCGGCGTAATGTGTTCTTTGGTCTTCCTCTCTTCCTTTGGCCTTCAGGATTCCATGTGAGGGCTTGTCTTGTGACGCAGTTCGGTGCTTTCCTCAATGTGTGTCCTATCCACTTCCAGCGCTTCTTCCTCCTCTGGAATCTGGTTTATTCTTTCCCATAGTAGGTTGCATATTCTGGATGATGGCTTTCGTAGTTCTTCAAGTTTCCACCCCATACAATAGAACTGTCTTGACATTTGTATTGGAAATCCTGACGTTCATGTTGGTCGACAGTTGTTTTGAGTTCCAGATGTTCTTCAATTGCAGATATTCTGCTCTTGCTTTGTCAATCCGCACCTTCACATCTGCATCAGATCTACCGTGTTCATCCATGATACTGCCCGGATATATAAAGGATTTTACATATTCCAAATCTTCTCCATCAAGTGCGATTGGATTGGTGCATTCTGTGTTGTATCGGAGAATCCTGCTTTTCCCTCAGTGTATGTTGAGACCTACTGCTGCTGAGGCTTCTGCTACACTGGTCATCTTCTCCTGCATTTGTTGTTGCGTTTGCGATAGGAGGGTGAGATCGTCTGCGAAGTCTAGATCGTCTAACTGGATCCTAGATGTCTACTGTATCCCATTCTTCCCCTCAGATGTTAACGTTTTCATGATCCAGTCGATCACCAGGAGAAAGAGAAAGAGTGAGAGTAAGCAACCTTGCCTGACACCTGTCCTTACTTCGAACGAGTTTGTGAGCTGTCCTCAATATATGATTTTGCAGTTTAATCCATCATAGGAATTATGTATGATATTGACTATCTTCGGAGGCCCGCCGTAGTGTCAAAGAAACTTCCATAGTGCTGTCTCCAATTTTTCTTAGTTTTCATTAATTATCTAGCTGCATTCAGTCCGTGATATAAACTACCATTAACACTAATAATAGTAATAGTAATAATAATAATAATAATAATAAACAACCACTTACTTGTGCTAATATCATAAATTTATTAATTTGTTCAATAGATGGTGTAAAATCCTCTGGTCCATAAGCATTTATGGCACCTGATCGACGATTGCATATAACAGCTTTTTTCACTAATCTCGTACCCAATATACTATTTTTTAAAATTCTGTCATATACATCAGAATTGCTTGTTTGATCAAACTAGAAAGAAAATTATAGAATAAAATAAAATACCTAAGAAACTTAAGAAACGGACATAGATTTCACAGATTGATCATAATAGATATAAAACAGTTACTAACCAACAGTATTTAAAGATAGCTTTTTATGGAATAACACAAATTAAGTAACATTAAAAATGTAAACCATAGGATATTAGTTTAGTAGTTTGAAGGTTGGGTGATTTTCTTTAGAACTGAGAATCGTGAGATTGATACTGGTTGATAAAGTCGTACATGGACATTCCTAATGAGGAGTCCTATACTACGAAGAAATAGTTATCCAATGACTCTTACTTGCTAGCGGTTGTTCGATTAACGTCAATTTGTGTTGTAAATTAAAAGATTCAGTAGAAAATTTCATGAAAAATCTTTTTTTCTTAAAGTTAAGTTATTTGGGAACAAGTGAAGTGAGAAGGTAGATATTACTTACTTACGACTGTTACTCCTCGTGAAGGAGCATAGGCCACTCACCAGCACTCTCCATCCAACCCTGTCCTGGGCAATCCTTTCCAGCTCTTTCCAGTTGTTATTCATCCTTTTCATATCTACTTCTGTTTCTCGACGTAATGTGTTCTTTGGCCCTCCTCTTTTCTGCTCCCCCTTCAGGATTCCAAGTCAGGGCTTGCCTTGTGATGCAGTTTGATGATTTGCGTAATATATGTCCTTTCCATTTCCATCGTCTTTTCCGAATTTCCTCTTCAGCTGGAAGTTGGTTTGTTCTCTCCCACAGAACGGTGTTACTGATGGTATTCGGCCAATGGATGTTGAGTATCTTACGTATACAACTGTTTATAAATAATTGTTCGCCAAGTTTCAGCTCTGTACAGTTGAACTAACTGTCTTGACGTTCGTATTGAAGATTGTGACTTTAATATTGGTTGAAAGTTGCTTTGAGTTCTATGTGTTCCATATGTTCTCCGTCTGTCGTTCTTCTAGAGTTACTGCTGGTCCCAAGCCCAGGTAAATGAGGAGGGTTGGGCATGGGGTTAGCGACCCCATCCCGTAGAAAGCAACTCGCTAAAAAAACGCTAACCAGAAAAAGGGAGATATTAGAAGAACCTAAATTCATCCAAGTAGTTGCAACTAACTTACAAATATATCAACTGTTGTTCACAGTTATATAACATATAGAAAGTACTTGATTTAAAAAATTTCATTTTATATGAACAGATCATTTTGTACTTTGATGAATTAGATCGTAACTCAATAATCGATAGCACGATAACTCATCTATTTTACCTCAATTCTTGTCTAGAATTTTGAATCAAATATCACTTAGCGTTTATAACAAATTCTATTTTTATTTATTTAAACACATAAACATTGTTACAAGGAGGCACCAAATAGATATGCGCCACATATATCATAAGATTTGTGTAAGGACTGGGTGCCCAAACCGAAGCAGGTGGTTTTCTTAATGGGCCATACCCAGAGACTTCGACTTAAAGATTTGATCCACAAGGCAGTGGAGCATCGTAAGGAGGTGCAGTCCCAGGGTAGCCGGTGGCCAACGAATGGTTCATACGCCGTTTGTTCCTTCGGGATACTGGAGCCCATATGCACCACTGGTTTGGATTCAGGGTTGTCCAACTCTCCTTTGTGAAACCTCTGTATCCACCAAACTGGTTAAAGCACCGGACGTTCGCTTTTCGTCTTCTCAATTTCGTAAACAATACGCGTGGTGTAAGAAGGCAGTGAGCAGAACTTCTGTGGCTGTGGTTGTATGCATGTGGCCATGTGAGAGCATTTCGAGAGGTAGAGCTAAGTCTCCCTACCCTCAGCCGGACCAGGGCATTTGGGATTACTAATGTTTTAAGGATATTTATGTTGGAATATGTACAACTATGCCATGTTAAGTATCGTCTATACACTATCTCACCCAGACAAATGTATGAATCAGGCTAGAGTGGAATATAATTGTCATGGGCCAAAAAGGTATTCAGAAATCCGTGATAATAATGGATAAACCACGTGTAAACCTTCAGTTAGATTGACAGAAGTACATCATAATAATTATTTTTGAAAAACTACATCAACCGATCTATCTATCCACACGTATATTCACATATTATTATTCATATTAAAACGTATTGTTTCTTGTGATTATACCAATCGTATGAAAGAAACCCTGGGTTAGTCACTAGATTTGCGGAGATCAGTTTCATAATCAGATAGTTTTTGTCACAGGCTGAGTTCATTCGGGATGTAATTGACAACCGATTTCTTCGTCTGATCAAATATCACTGACACGATACCACTATGAATCGCACCATAGTCATTTAGTTCTTGTTGCGACTAAGTTACTTTTAGACTACTGATTCATATGCAATTTGTTGCTATAAATGTTTCATGCTAGAACGGAACAACTCATCAGGAATCGCTTATTTCAGTACTATCCCTAATTAATATTGATCACTGACAAAAATCACTTATAAATTCTCTGCCATTGAACAATAGATGTAATGTATCATGTAACCAAACATGTAATACAAATATATATGTATTATAATTTACTTCGTATTGTCATTTATTGATTGAATAGCTGATTATTATTATTATATCAAACCGATCATGTCACTGAGAAAACTAATTGTACACAGCTAGTAAACATTTGATGATAACAATAATAAAACAATCACACAGTCTATTCATTTGATGTATTTACATATAAAATATTCTGTTCATAAGAAAAAAACGACACAGTTATTCAAAAGCACACCGTTATTGATTAATTGGTAGTACCCAATGTCTTATTTATCTAATCCTTAGTACTAATCATATTATATCGATCAAATTGAATAGAACCTGGAAACTAATCTAAGTGGTTCTTAATTGTTTGAATTCAGTTTTGTGATAGTTACCATTGATCAGAGTAATATACCTGTGATGATATAACCGTGTTAAAAGTTTACTGTTTAGACATTATACCGACTTCAATGTAACCAACAATTGAGTATTATAAATATAACTGTTTAAACTTATCACAATTGATTGATCACTGGGTGGCGATCAACGTCATGCGTGTCTAGTCCTTATTAGTACAGATCGAATGCTATCGACCATGTTGCAATGTGGCCACCAACCTAGGTGACTCGACACAGCGTGTACTATGTTGAGATTAGATGGTGGTTGGAGGTAGTCGACAAGAAACCCTGGACCCGGGTTTCGTGCTACTTGGCACTCGTCAGTAAAATGTACCTGTAATCTTCAGGGAACTGGTGCTCCCTGGCGGATCCGATCTCGTGCCAAGTAGCACGAAACCCGGGTCCAGGGTTTCCTGTCGACTACCTCCAACCACCATCTAATGTTTAAACTTATCTTCATAATTTAAATCACAAACGGATATTAGCTAAACTACTATTGAAAACGCGGAGGTATTTGGCAATTACATTGTCTTAATTTGTAACTCTTCAGCAATGCACATCTACAACTTCACCACAGAAGATCGAATCAGTTATCATATAATTCAAAAATGTGTGTTTTTGAAACCAGCGAACTAATTAAATACCTTAAGATAATCTAATGATCTACACCAGCTAACATCTTCGAATTCATATTGTCAAGATAGCTGTTGAATTACAAGTGGTATTCAAATTCAACTACATAAATCTTACTCAACTAAGGCTAACTTAATCCCTTACTAATAAAAATTATTACAGAACGATTATGAAATCCTAGAAATGTCACATTGTCATGATACATAAGCTAGAAATAGATAACTAATAACTTTTATCTTTAGCTTTTCATACAATTCTAGAACCAGTACCAATTCAGAATGAAGTATTCATTCAATAGATTAGATGTTAGTAGTTTGTTCATTCTTTAGAGAGAAAAAAAAGGGTTTCATGATTATGTAACATTAAATCGAGTTTTGTAACTAATGTAATAGTAGCACATAAGTACACACATATATATTTCATGTTTATTATTATTATTATTATTATTATTATTATTATTATTATTATTATTATTATTATTATTATTATTATTATTATTGAAGTTTAAAGTGTTCACAATGAATTAGATCGACGTGTCATAAGAATAGAATGAAATTAAACTGTATCTAATTCATTCACTTCATAATGTACACATGTAACAAATAGGTGACTGACGTGTTGGTTACTATAAAATTGTATGTTTTAATGATAATCAATTATACATGTACACATTCATAAACACACACATATATATATATATATATATGCACATACGCAATGACCTGTTAATATTATATAGAACTAAGTATTTGAAATTCTCTGGTAATATTGGACATTCACATGCTTTTCAATTTAGTTAGATTGATTTATAATTATCATCAGTGTAAGGGTTGCAGAGATGGTTAAGTTTTTGATTGTGATCATGAATTGATGAATGTTAGGTTACCATTGAAAACTTGGAAGTATTGGATGGCTATCTCGTCTTAATATAAGACTTCTCAATAGTGCACATCCATGATCATTAAACTATGATGCACAGAAGGCTGGACTATAGAGATTTAATTATTATTTAATATGTTAATATAAAGATGAAAGGTGGGGGGGAATGGTCATCACTGTCATATCATCTTCCAGTTATTTGTAGATCAGATTTGATTCAGTTTGTAGAATGTGGAAAGTTTTCATTCATTTGATAAAATGGATGAATTTCTGGAAAAAGATTTACAACTAAAATCAACTAACTAAATAGTCAAGTTTATATCTCAGTGATCTTGTAATAAGTAGTGTTTTTAGACAAGAAAATATATGGACTAATCTATCAGAAAGATGCTGATGGTGTTAACAATCTTTTAAGTAACTTATTACTGTTACTATTGTGAAGAATTAGATGCTATTAAGAGCTAACTTTACCTGAAGCCCTTCTAGGGTTACTAATACCGGTCACAACCCTGGGTAAGTGAGGAGAGTTGGTCATAAGATTAGTTAATTTGTCCCCTAATGATGATTCTTACTAAAAAGATATGCTAACTAGGATAAAGCCTGTTATGACGGGGTGAAAGGTCAAAATTAAATTGATTTACTCATCATAATTTTTATTCAACATTAATGATCACTCAGTATAGTATTTGTTTCGTTTTCCTCTATGACACTTTATTCTGTATAACATACGACATTCTTGTATGAAGTATTTTTCATCTATGTCATTTATTCGGATTATTAATCAAAAATGGTTGTACACACCAATATATAAATGAGTGTATTTCCAATTAGACGGGTCGGGATCGCTCGTGTTTCTGGTTGCTTGCGGAATATATTTCCCCGTTCCAAACTTTGACTTTTCTCTCTAGTTACCGGGGCTGGGACGCATCAGAATATCTAACTTATTGCTCTTTGGTTACAAAGTCTTTGTTTCGTTCGCAGACTAGGTGAATCCGTAATGTTTTCAAACATAGCAAAGCCAAGTAAACACTGTACAACTCATTTAGAATTCAGTGTTGCCTGGTAAATCCTGCATATTTCTATATTATGTTTCGAAGAAAGGAGAGAGAAAAAATGACTGTTCATTTAGTAATCATTAAAATCCATGTATTACTAATATGATTTAATAATCCAGTGTGATGTATTGTCTAGTTACTTGCATAACCCAATGATGTTAGGTGTTTAGAGATAATTAGAAGAAAACTATGAAATCCGGTTTTAAGCAAGTTGATGCTTTCTACCAACATATACCTGTAATCTAGAACAAACTGGTGCTTCCTATGACAGTTGAACCCATGTCACCTCGCTTCAAAGTTTGATTTTTTTCGGTAAGTGATTAGATTTTGTAGGGCTGAGATATTAATCAATGTGTAGTAACCAGCGTCATGTTTGTCTAATCTTTTAGTGTTAAAAGAGATTTGTATAGGTAGATAAACATTTTAATTGAATACATCCAGTTCCCTCTGAACATACTAACCATTTAACATAACCTTAGATGTTGTAAATATTTCTAATTTTGAGACATTCATCATCAAGATGTATAGACAGTGTTCAAATGATGATAATGGTCTAATCATCTGATTTACTTCACGGTTGCTTCTTCCTTGTGTCTCTGTTTGTGTATTGTATTGATTTAATGTCGATATATTGAATAATATTCTTCAACAGGCATAAAAACATTTGAGTACGAATAAATAGACGGTGAGACTATAATTTATGGAAGAACGAGACCATGGATGTGCACTGCTGAGGAATCTCATACTAGGACGAAACGGCCGTTCAATGCATCCAGGTTTTCCATGATGATCTAGCTTCAATTGACTCATGATCTCAACTATTGAAATTTCTATTTTATGTGTTAGACATTTTGTTTATGTAGGTTGGTTATGTTATTATTATACTGACGAGTTATACCGTCTTTAGTAATATTCGTTTATTGTGGGTTTGTGTTAAATGATTGAAATTTTTGTGCAAACATCAATTGGTTACAATCATATCAAGAGATTAATCGCTTACACATCTCATAATCCATATCATTTCATGTTAGTTATAACGTTAGTTTGGGTAATATTGAACCTAGTGATCAACTTACTGAAAACATAACCATTTGTGCTAATTATTAATAATATAATATAAAAAAAGTGATGATGAATTGTGACCTTACACAATACTAAATTGTATTTAATGATCTGAATAATCTAATCTAAAATAATCTATTCATAACATTCAGTCATTTGATGTATTTTTTCAATCATAACCAGGATCTAGATACATATAGGTGTGTTGTGTCGTTTATATCATTTGTGATACTTAAAATAAATACAGTCCGATTTTAAATGTGTTAAAGATACTATACAATCAACTCCTGTTTAAACAATTGGTACCTGGTTAACAGTCATATATATTATGTAAGCGTTAGAAAATCAATTCAACCTAGTTCTGAACAAATCCGATGAAGTTTATATTAAATTCACAACAATATGGTTATAGATTGTGGATTTCACACATTGAAACATATTCCAATGGGTAGAACTTTTAATATGATTGAGTGTAAGAGGGAATTTTACTTGAGTAATTGAATTATGACGGCATAGTTAAATGACATCATGCTTCCGGAAATATTTAATGATCCAATTGACTATGAGGGCGTTGTTATCTTCGGATCTTCAATAGTTCTCTAGTTACTTTTAGGTTCTAGTGAAAACTGCTTTCGCTCGAATCCAGAAGCGTTAAAAGCTATCTGTCTGTCTGTCATACGTTAAATTATTATAAAATATTAGTGCAGAGGGATTCTTGAACAATGTAGAATTTTCATAATTTAAATCACGAGCTGATCTTACACAGACCACAATTAAAAAAGGAAGCATTGAATGGACAGTTTTTCGTAATATAAGGATCCTTAGAAATAGGCATCCATGACCTTGCTATAGATAATCGAATCCAGGACTCTCACTCTGGCTCAAAAGTGTCTTACCCCTAGACCACTGAGTCTATGTCCGATGGTGAATATATCTAACTTCTATCAACTCATAATAATGTCTGACCATCTTCCGTTACCTGTGGTGGATAACTGTCTCACACCTGACACGGATTGAATTTCGCAGTTCACAGCTTTTCACTAGAACTCCAAGGACTGAATCATGAGGCTAGTTGTTTGGGAACACATGATGAGCGCTGCCGACGAGTCCCATGCCAGTATGGAATGCCCGTACTATCCTTCCAGGTTTTCTCTGGTGGTCTAACTAAGATCAATTAGTGCTTTAGACTATTGGTAAATAGTTTGAATCCTCACCTCTTCATGATGATACATAGTCACTTCTAATGAAGTTTGCTTAAATATGTTAACTGCCATGAAGAATTTCGACTGTAAAATATCGTAGATTCCAAACAGTAGATGGCAAGAATCTTACGTACTAAAATAAATCGTCATATTGTTCTATCCAAGGCTCTGTTACTACTCTCTTCAAGATACTTAAAATAAAATTATGTAAATGAATAAATAATTTCTACTTTACGTATTTCATTTCCTCATAACAAATTTCCATGTCAACTTTATCTCAATAAATCTCAGATAAATCATACCGAAAGAAAGGATATTTTGAGTTAAATATGTCCCACCAATATAAAATAAGATTAAGATACTAAATATCGCCAAGATTTTATGGAAAAAAATACTTAAACGCAGTCAAAACCATATACGTAAGGTTTTAAGTTTCCTTTTTCTTATGTTTTAACACTTATGGGAAAGTTCAAAGTAAATAAAATTGGTATTGTTTGGCTTGTCTCTTCCCATTGAGGTTTAAGACTGCAATTAATCAGTCTGTTATTGGCATATGTGCATACTGTGCGTATACATCTATATTGCCTTAATTCACATTGCACAAGCAAGTGGCTGTCAGGACTCAGTAGCTAAGTGGATAACGCGATGGTATTTGAAGCGAAACTTACTGGATTCGAGTCCCAGAGTGAACATCAACTCTGAGATGCAGGTACATCCAGCCACTATCCATCATTGTTGAAAGTAAATATTTAAACATTTAATTTCATTTGTAATGTTTTAGAGTATTCCATCATTCATATTTTGAATGAATTTTTATCAATCTTGGTTGAATTACATGCATCTTGTGTATAATACTCCGATATAGCCATTATGTTACAAGCTTATATGGAATAGATGGAATGTTACCGGCAATTGAATCCTACACTCATGTTTAATTCCATTTAGGACTCATCATTTGGAAATACCTAGTCTCCAGAGTTCATTTAAAGTTGAAATTCATACCGTTCTACAAGCTAGTGCTTATCTGGGCTCAGTAGCTCAGCGGATAGTGCGTTGAATGTTTAAAGCTAGAAGTACTGGGTTCAAACCCGTGAGTAAAAATTAACTCTAGGATGTAAATACATCTAACTGACGAGCTCCAAATAAAAGGTAATGCTTATTCAAGATTATACTGCTATCCACATGCTACTTATTCTATATTTAAACAAACGAATTCACCAGTGTTATTCCGCTAGTAACTAGAACACACTTTGTGGTATAAGAATCTGAAGATTCATGTTTGACAAGAATTTTCTTGTAAGCCATACCAGTTTTCTTCCTTATGATTAATCTAATAAATCTTATCTCTCTAATATTGTGCTTTACCATCACTACTTTTGAAGGAATGGACTTGATTTACTTAATACACATAACAAGTCAGTGCTAACGCTCAAAAATTTTGGTGTAAAAAACTTGCATAATACAGTTGAACCAATCAAAAATCAAGGTTATCCACACAGTTAATTAAAATGATGATTGGTCATTCTAGTATTGTTTATTAATAATCTGATTGGTTACTTGTCAATTAGATTTGTTACAGTTTATAAATCAGTCATTTTCATTTTGGAGGACTTATTCAAACTTTGTTGGTGTGATTTACGTACACAATGGGCTCTATTTTGTCACGATTCAGTTCACGTAAAGATGAAAAATCAGACACAGATTCACGTTCAGCAACTACTATACGCAAACGTTTTAGTTGGAGATCTAATAAAAAGCCAGCTGATGTCGGTGGTACTTCAGTGAACCGATCAAGTACTATGCCTGCAAGAACTAGATTACAACCAACTGAAGAAACTCCTGAAGACAGAAAACATGATGACATTTTTGATAGTGAACAAGATGAAAAGAGTTGTTCAAAGTCTGTTGTCAAACCAAATCAAAATGACGATACTTCACAACATTCAAGTGGACAACTGGAACAACACAATGTAGAATGCGCTAAAAAACCTATCGTATGTGAAATACCTGGAGGAAAAGATGAGAAGCAACCTATTCAAATTTCATCGACTAATGAACCAGAAAACAAAGATAATATGGCAAGGACAATTTCTACGGAAGAAGCTGAACTGTTGATTGGCCGTGTTCTACCAAATCAGGAAAATGTTAGTCCTCATGAAAATATAACTGTATCAGAAACAAATAGTTCTCTTACTCATGATAATATAAATTTCAGTCATACTGAAAATCTAATAGTTAATAAACAACAACTACAAGAAACATTGGACCACTCTATTCATAATTCTTGTCTAACGATGGACCAACAAGAAATTACTAAAGACCAGAATGGATTTGTTGATGATACTCAGCATCATTTTGAAGATAAGACAGATTTATTAAAAGATGATATCCACTCTGAAATAGTTCGAGAAGAGATAAAATTGGAGCAAAATCCACCATTATATCTTTCTCCAGAAGAGAAAGGAGAATTTGTGCATCAGGATATCCGTAGAGATAACAGTACTGAACAGTTAAACGCTGAAAATGATATTATAAAACAGGAAGGTGAAGAAAATCTGAGTATTAAAGGTTCTAGTCATAATGAAGTTATGCAGTCTTCACCGGCGGTATGCTTTTCTCGTTCAAATGTAGTTGAATATCCACCTCCTGAGCAGACACACGTTGTTGATATAGATGAACAAACGTATAATCACCAAACAAATAATATTTCAAACATTCAATCTTCAGAAACTGTTGGAGAGAAAGATTTAATCCATGAGCAGATTGTACAGAATGAGTTATTGGAATGTTCAGCTGAACCTCGTCCATTCCATAATCTATCTAACAATGAAGAATTCTCTAATTCAGAACTTATTGACACAGATAACAAGGTGAATTTCGTTGAAACTGAGAATACATTAGATAACGTAATTTCAGAACATGTCGAACAGAAAGATGTATTCCAAGAAACAATGGAAAAAGAGTTCAACAAAATCTTAATCAATTCAAGTGAAACAAAAATTTTGTCGGCTGATGAACCACCTATTAATTTGAATGATGACATAAATGCAAAACAAACCGAGAATCTCTCTCACCATAAAGACACAGAGCATGAAGCACCGATTGACGAGGAAGAAACACTCAATGAACTAGATAAATGCTTATCTCAACCAGGTTTGACATATGACCCAATGCATAGTGTATCTCCTATCACCACGGAACCCATTAATTTAAATGATGATATGCATGTTGAACAAACTGAGAATCTCTCACACTCTGAAAACATGGAGTCTATTAATTTGAATGATGATATACATGTCGAACAAACTGAGAATCTCTCTCACCATAAAGACACAGAGCATGAAGCACCGATTGACGAGGAAGAAACACTCAATGAACTAGATAAATGCTTATCTCAACCAGGTTTGACATATGACCCAATGCATAGTGTATCTCCTATCAACGCGGAACCCATTAATTTAAATGATGATATGCATGTTGAACAAACTGAGAATCTCTCACACTCTGAAAACATGGAGTCTATTAATTTGAATGATGATATACATGTCGAACAAACTGAGAATCTCTCTCACCATAAAGACACAGAGCATGAAGCACCGATTGACGAGGAAGAAACACTCAATGAACTAGATAAATGCTTATCTCAACCAGGTTTGACATATGACCCAATGCATAGTGTATCTCCTATCACCACGGAACCCATTAATTTAAATGATGATATGCATGTTGAACAAACTGAGAATCTCTCACACTCTGAAAACATGGAGTCTATTAATTTGAATGATGATATACGTGCAGAACAAACGGAGTACACTTCACCTTCTGAATACAATGTAAATAATAATATGTCTACGGAGAAGTTCATTGACACTGTAGTGGAAAGCTCAGCTGAACCAGGTATGGAATGCGATTTCTCGTCAAATGAGTCACATTTTACATCAGAACTGGTATTAAGTGAAGAAAATAGAGAAGCTACTACAGACGTTGACTTAGAACATCCTACTGAAGATATTAAAACAGAAGATATTCATCATGAGCAAGCAAATGACAATGAAACTTTAACTACACTCGAAGAATCAGTTAACCTGCAAAATACAATGAACTCGAGTCATATTGATGATGAAATTGATCAGCATCAAATACTTGAAGTATCGTACAATGAAAATCATTCTGATGTTCCACTTAATGCAGATACCATCGATGTAATCACTTCAGACAATTTACATACAAATTTGATAAGTACAAATGATGTACTAAACCAACAGGATGTGTTCAATTCAATGTCAATGAATGATAATAACGATATCATGAAGAATTTAGAAAATTCTAAAAATAATGAAATTCATGAATTTGAAGATGAAGCCCAATCTTTAGTTCAATCTGTTTTAAGCAATGCTAAAGAATTTGTCTTTAATGAGAATAATTTTGATAATCATTACAACTCTGATAATAATAATAATACAAATCTTATCTTGACCAATAATAATAGTAACAATAATGATTATCTTACTACTAATAATAACAGTTCTATGAATGAAGAAGATACTATTGAAATGAAACAAGATATAACAATGAAACCATCAATGGAATTTGATCATTCTGATCTATCTGAATTAAATAATCAACTTTTAAAGAACACAACTGATTTTGCCATAGCATAAATACAGCAACAACAATAACAAATGACACATCGTTCTTCTTTTCTTTTTTTTTTTTTGGTGACATTATTTGTACACATCAAAGAAACCTATGATATGTTCATCATTAGTCAAACTCAATGAGAATCTAATTGTTCTTGTTAAATTTAAGTAAGTTTCATTGTTATAATTAACATGACCATTAATAAGACAGAGATAACTACTACTACTACTACTACTACTAATTCTCGGTTATTGATTGATACTATATATAGTTCCGTTTTGCCTATCAATGCTTTCCGATTAGTTTAATAACATTATCTTGATCATTGTTATTCTATGATTGACTATGGTTTACATTTCATATATATATATAACAATAATCTTATCCAATTATTTCATCTTTGTATGTTTCATTATGCATTTTCCTATTTGAAACGATTTATGAGACAGGAGTAAATTTTGTTTTTTGGATTCACAAGCAAGACTGTAACCATATTTATATATATATTTTATACAACGAATTGACATTGCTTTTGTTTGAACCGAGTGTTTTGTATTAGAACAAAAAGTATATCCATTTTTCTCTATTTTTGTGGAGAAAAGAAAAAAAATATAAAAAAAATAAATTGTTCCCATGAATAATCAATCGATGTTTGCTTTATTTTTTACTGCTTTACCATCCAACGAACTAGTTTGTTGCTATGGCATGAATGATTGGAATATCTTCTCTGTGTTTTTTTTTCTTGAAATTGTCATGTTCTTTTATTGATTTTAACTTTAATGCTTACTTACTTAAATAATGAGTAGTTTCTTTTTCTCATTTTTCCCAGTAATGAATTCATTTGTGTAGTATCAGTTTTGTTGTGCTACAACCCACACACACACACACACAGTATGCTTATAATCTTGTCTTATTTTTTTATCAATAAAAAATCGAATTACCATTTTGGTTACTTAATTGTTAAATATTAATATTCTTAATTATTATTACGAAGAAGAAAATAAAACACAATTACATTGATTATAATAATAATTTACTATTCTTACTCTATTTGGGTTACTTTTATTTTTTTCAAACTATGTGCATTGACGTCATTGAATCTAGTGATTACTCAGATAGGTCGTCGTCATCATCATCATCATCATCATCATCATAGGTTGCACCTACGTGTGATTACCTCTCTCTTTGTGTGTGTGTGTGTGTGTACGCACACTCGATCATGTATCATTCTAATATTTAGTAAGTACTGATAATGAAAACGATGATGATAATGATTATCACATTCGATAGTTTTTTATATTTAAGAAGATAGGACCTTTAAGTGTTTGTTCAACTTGGTGAAGAATCTGCACATATATTCTATGTGATCACTGTAATGTATATATATTCAGTTATATTTACCATGGAGCCTAACACAATTGTACGTTAGTCAAAGTTGACACACTAAATTAGCAATGTAAGATACAATTAATAAAACAAGTAGCACAGGAGTTGAAATAATTTTTTCGAGAACATAGAATTAAATGACATTTGGATGAATACTGTCACTCAAAATCTAAAAGGTAAAATGTGAATGCATTTACCTTATCCTGACCTAATTATGAGCTATATCATGCAGAGTTTCCAATCGCTAGTCATATTAACCACCTAGACTTCAGCCAAGAAGCCGAAAATATGTCAACACAACTTAGACTAATAGTCATTGACTTCATAGACCGTTCTCATCTCTTGGTTCGATTCCCTTCCCAATTTTCTTCCGGCTTACTCCAACTCAAGTCATTCTTGCACATAGAGGTAGATGGTGGTTAAGGGAGGGAATAATCATCAATTAGAAATATATTACTCCTTAACTAGTTAAAATTCCTGTGTATACATTTCTAGTACAGTAGTGTGAATGATACTCATGAGTGTAGTATACTTAGTACTAAATATATATAATTTTAATTCAGGAAAGGAAAGTTATGTATTAAGTTAGAATTAGATCGCATTAGCAGATTATGATTTTTTTTAAAAAGTCTAGATATTCTGTGTATGTGATGAAAATGTGTAACTAAGTAGCAGAAAAAGTGATAATTTGCATAATTACAACAACAAAAAATAATTCATCTCTCGAAAGAATATCAAGTATCATTCTTCTACTTACCAGAATAAAGTGTTAAGAACAAAAGATTATTTCAAACTGTTTCTTCCTCCTTGCTTTCATCTGTTCCATCATATCAGACGCCCAATAGGATGCCTGTTTTCAAGTCAACAAAATAAAGTGATTTTCCCTAATTTAGTACTAATAACATCATAAAAGGAAATTCGAGCAAAGTAAGAATTTGACTCGATGGTTTAAGGATTTAAAGGTTCGAACTTCATTTTCTAGCTAGTTCAGTTAAAGCAACTGAATAGGATAATTTTTCTGCTTCTAAATTGATGACTTATGTTCATTACATAATTATTGAGTTATATTTAAAAACCACATCTCTAAGATAGTGAAATAACACAGTCAATTAAATCTATAACATTAGAAAACATAAACTGTCTTACTATTGACGGGTAAATAAGGCATGTTATTTAAAGATTGAAATTAGGTAAACTGTTGAGTACTTTCCCAAATGAACCATAAACACAAAAATAAAGTTCTCAATTGTCTGAACTTAAAATGATATTCCCCAGTTAAATATGATATAATTCCTGTATTCATGCATACATATACACATATCAAATAGAAATCTTCAAAAATTTGAATGATTGTTTGGCTACATTAATGATGTGATACTATTAGATACAATGAACACCAAGAGAAACTTATGTTAAAGAGTATTGTTTAAGTATATGTGTTATCTTCTACATAACAAACAGTTTACTCAGGACTTTTCAAATATCATACACTATTGTTGATATATATGTGTAGTATGCATGTTATAACTGTCTAATTAAAAGATTTCAAATAAAAAGTTTGTTATTTTATAAGCAAAGATGAGTAGTGGCTAGCAGTGGAATCCAGGACTCGCGTTTCGTCACATTTGGGATTCGTCAGCTGAATGTACCTGCATCTCAGAGTTGATGTTCACTCTGGGACTCGAACCCAGTAACGTTCGCTTCAAACGCCATCCCGTTATCCACTTAGCTACTGAGTCCTGATAGCCACTTGCTTGTGCAATGGGACGAAGTTTAATTCACTTGGTATTGTTTTACATACGCCAATAAGAGACTGATCAGTCGCAGTTCTCAATATCAATGGGAAGATTCAAGTAAAACAAAACTAAATGAATTATTGATATTATTATTTGTTAGGATTTGTAATTACCGATTTTAGTAGTCATGACTGTCATTTTAAATAATAATACCAAGAAAGCAGTTCCAAATATTATGGCATATTCGTTGAATAGTTTGCTGACAACTGTATCTCTAGAACTTACTGGATAGCGCATTGGCGTTTAAAACAATCATTATTCATTTTCAGTCTCTTTGATTGATTGATTTATTTCAACACATAAATATTGGTACAAGAGGGCACCAAATACATATGCGCCACACCATATTTGTGGGTGTGTGGGCTGTGATACTGCCAGGGTGACCAAACCGAAGCAGGTGGTTTCCCTAAAGGGCCACTCCACGAGCCTTTGACCTAAAAGTCTGATCCACAAGACAGTAGAGCATCGTGAGGAGATGCATTCCCATGGTAGCCGGTGAGCTACGATTGGTTCTTACGCCATTTGTTCTCGCAGGATACTGGAGCCCATGTGCACCATTGATTTGGGATCCGGTTAAAGCACCGGACATTCGCTTTTTGTCCTCTCATTTTCGTAAACAACTCCCCGCCACGAGAAGTCAATGAGTAGGATTTCCCAGGCAGAGTCAGATTAACATTAAGCTACATGCAAGTGTATCTAGTTGGTAAAGTTCAAAGCATCATAAATTCAGTCCTAGATACCATTTTTAGCCCTTATCTGGAAAATATCACATATCTTTAAGCTTCTATTTTGATTAACTAGTTTAAAAATTTATCAGTTTATGTAAACATTAATAGATAATAATAGATTGAACAAAAGGACATACTCAATTATTAGTACATCAGTTTGTTTGTGTATACATAAGATTTTTAAAAATAAGAATCAGAATAAACAAACTAAGGGGAGTTGTAGGATAACCTTTGGGAAAACTTATTATGGAAACAAAAAGATATTTATAAAACAGAAAAATAGTATACTGAATTGAAGAAGTCTATCTATATATGGTTAGTTGCTTGATTAAAAAGATACAACCAAACTTGTAGTCGCATGGAAACAGATGTTTATCAAACTATAAGTACAGTTTTGTTTTATTCATTCAGTATTGGACTATTCAAAAAATGGTTCACACAATCAATTTAATGATAAACAGAGTTTGTGTGCGTATATGCTTCCCTACTGAATAAATTAGTTGCAAATAGTAAGATATTCTTATCTCAGTTGTGATTGAATGAAATGTAACCAAATATACACTGAGTGTACTGGTAGCTCAATTGTCAGGGGGCTCTATAGTTTGAATCCCACTCCATCGAGTTTGGTTTCGACAACAAGTTTGTATCACTAGCGCTCACATTTAAAGTATAGTTCAAAGCCAAGGACTTAAATTTGTATCTGGTAAGAATTTTAATAGTAATTTACCAAACGTATCATCAAAAGAGCATTCATGGTATGAACTGGGTATCAACTAGGAAATCGTAAGATACCAAAAGCATTTAACAGTAGTTAGGAACATCTTAACGATGCGTATTTGCAATCCTATACAGGATAGAGCCTTTAGATGTTGCAGTGAGCACTATACCTTTAGGTTATTTATTAAAAATCTAATACTTACTTATCTATCTAATACGAGCATTGTCATTTTTAATGTTACTAACAAGAATTACTGATTGACTAATAGACGGGCTATGAATTTTTCGGAAATTCCATCTCGAAGCAGTTGGTTACATCATTTCGTGGCCTCAATTCAAAAATGAATAAATTCCTTAGTTTAAGTGATTTGTTCTGCTATTTTTTCAACTGGTATTTCATTCGATTTTAGGCTATAAATGCTGCCTCCATGTTATACCACATCACCGAGAGATATAATAAGTGTGTGTATACAAAAGCGTTTCGAGTCATTTAGGTGAGAGGCTGAATCAATGAGATTCGATCACCACTGAGGAAAAGGCAAACATGGAATTGGTTACTAATGAGCCATTAATCAACCGCAAATATTTCAGTTAAACAGAAGGTCAGTTACGTCCGGAGCATTTCAGTGGTAACATCTTAAATTATAAAGCTCAGTGATATGAGTTAGAACCCTATGGGAAGTGACAGTCTCCTCAAGAATACAGATAAGTCTAATCGATGAGTACCAACTAACTGGAAACATAAGTCAAGTAGGATTTCCTGTCGACTGCCTACGATCACCTAACATTTCAATGTAATACACATGATGTTGAGTCATTCAGACCATATAGCTGATCGATATAATTCAGCCGTCACCATTAAAACTAAAAGAACATGACATTTGTGACTACCGAGTGATCAATCAGTTGCATTCATTTATTTTTTACTATAGTTTAAAATAAAATGAAGAGGAATCACTAAATAAATCATGACTGTTATTGTCTAGTAATCTTATCCTCATGTTGATCACCAAAAATGAAACAATGTCACTTTCAGCCAATATATAATGAAGAAATCAATCAGCCTTTCTTAAGGTTACTATAAATGTTATGTACGTGTGGCACAGATTTAAAGAGTTCAATGAAATGAACGGATAACAAATATCTCTAGTTATATTAATGGGAACTTTATAATTTTCAATGAGGAAACAATCTTAGAACTTAATAACAGTCGTGAATGTTGACTTGATAAAATCAACTATCAACATAAATTATATAACTTCAATTTCAGACTTTCATCAGCATCGCAATATATATCACCACTGAATGGTTGTTTCCAACTAAAAATGATTTGAATCCCATTTACTCAACTCATTTAAATATCTTATTGTCTAGTATAACCATAATTGACTGTTACT